GGTCCAGGGCTTTATCTGCATTCTTGATTTCTGAGTCATGACCTGGAGGAGGTTCTGGGCTTGGGCATTCCTCAGAGAACCAGTCCTTTGGAGGCAGCCTGGTGTCTTCTCTAGTCTAGGTTTTGAGCAAAAGACTGAAGCCAGCCACATAGGTTTTAGATAATAGTCTGTCTACTCATGAAGTCCTGCAATAGGCATGGGCTTTCTATGCAATTTCCTTCATTACTGTCCGCTGAGCTTCCATAATGAAACTACTTGCTATGCAACCTATTCTTTCTACACAGTAAGGACCAGTTGCAACAACAGTAAATCTACTGATAATTATTCATCTGCCTGCCCATTCATCCATTTATTCATTTCTTAGCTCTGCTCAAACAGCCTAGAAATGATATTCCAGTAACAATGAGCACACCTGGCCCCAGTCCTTGGTTTCTAAATGTTATCTCCTACAAAAAGAAGCCAGGGTTTCCTGGGGAAATTGATAATTACAGGACTTTGACAGAAAAAAATGCAAGGTGAGCCTGGAACATCTCTTGCCAGATAGCAAAGAAACAATCAAAGATTAATGAGATCCTGTCCAAAGAAAGAGGAGATCTTGGGGATCCCTGGGTGGCGCAGTGGTTTAGCGCCTGCCTTTGGCCCAGGGAGCGATCCTGGAGACCTGGGATTGAATCCCACGTCAGGCTCCTGGTGCATGGAGCCTGCTTCTCCCTCTGCCTATGTCTCTGCCTCTCTCTCTCTCTCTCTCTCTGACTACCATAAATAAATAAAAATTTTTTTTTTAAAAAAAGAGGAGATCTTAAAAGTTCTTATCAAAGAAAATATTTTTATAACTCTGCATTGTGATGGATGGTAACTAAACTTATCATGGTAATCATTTCACAATATATACATATATCAAATTGTTACATGTGATTTATATCTCAATGATACCAAAACACAACAGAGGAGCTGGCCTGAAGGACTCTCCTTGGCCAAATTTGGAATAATTTGAGTACCAAAAAAGATTAATGATGATAATTGGCTATATATATCACACATTGAATTAAAAAAAAATCATGAGGGACGTCCAGGTGGTGGCTCAGCGGTTTAGCATGTGCCTTCGGCTCAGGGCGTGATCCCGGATTCCTGGGATTGAGTCCCACATTTGGGCTCCCTGCCCTCTGCCTATGTCTCTGCCTCTCTCTCTCTCTCTCTGTGTGTCTCTCTTGAGTGAATAAAATCTTTAAAACAAAAAAAACATCCCAAAACTATGAGTCTGTTACTTCAAGAAGAAAAAAAAAGAGATGGGAAGAAGAGAGAAAGACACACAGAGGAAAAAATGATTCTATAACAAATAATACCAGCCAGTAAATACAGAAAGAATGGCATACTTAGAAAAATCACCATTTTGAAACCCTCAATGTTGCAATTTGGGCAAGGATCACCAACGGATGTAGTGAGAAGAACAGGGAGCACACAATTTGGACAGTCTCAAAGAACCACTGCAAAGACTAATTACAAAGGGAAAAATTACAAAAATGGAGAGATCAGGCAATCACGGCCTTAACCAACAATCGAATTTAGCACTCAGGGATGGTAGGACCCTGGTATCACACACTTCCCGATGTGATGCAGTAAGGACACAGCATCGTCAGAAAGAAAAAAGAACCCTGACTAATCACTGATAAAAGAATCAAACACAAATTCACACAGGTCGAGGAGGCTTATCTAGATGAAATGAGATGATTAAAGAGATAGGACTATCATGCATGAATCTTGAGGACACCCGATAAAAAAATAACCTACAGGGTAACTGGGTGATGGGCACTGAGGGGGGCACTTGATGGGATGAGCACTGGGTGTTATGCTATATGTTGGCAAACTGAACTCCAATAATAAAAAAAAAAATAACCTACAGAAGATATTTTTTGGCAGTTGGAGAAATTTGAGCATCCACTGTTTATTAGACTTCTTTCAAATTTTCTTAGGTATGAGAATGGTATTATGGTCATGTTGGAGAATTTTGTAATTAGGAGATACATGCTGAAGAATTTAGGGGACAGGTGTCAAGACATCTGTAACTTCTACATAGTTCAGCAAAAAGGCGTGTCTGTGTGGTGAAAGGAAAATCAGCAAAGGGTGACATTGGTGCAGCTAGGTGAAAGGCCATTCTTTGAACTTTTCTGTAGCCTTGAAAGTTCTAAAAATATTTTTATTTTGAAAGGGGGAAGAAAAGAATGCTTCCCTCTTAGGGACTCCAGATGTAAAATTCCAGTCAGAGTGCCCGACCACAATAAACAGCCAGGTTCAGTACACAGGCTTGTTATTACTACTCCCAGGAAGCATTACAATCTAGTCTTTTCCTCTCCATTTGCTGCTGGTTTTTAAAAATTTTATTTATTTTTAATTTTACTTATTTATTCATGAAAGACACAGAGAGGCAGAGGGAGAAGGAGGCTCTCTGCAAGGAGCCCGATGTGGGACTCAATCCTGGATCCCAGGATCATGCCCTGAGCTAAAGGCAGACGCTCAACCGAGCCACCCAGGTGTCCCATTGCTGCTGTTTCTTGGAGGATGAGGTAGCCAACCAGGGTGAAGCTAAAAGAGCCCACAGTTGGTGGAGGAAACAGAATTTAAACCTGACCGGTCTCTTTCCATAGAACCACCACTCAGAGAAACCATAACGCGAGGACTGCCTGTCTCTGTGTTAGGATCCAGGCTGGGAACAGATGGTTGTTGACTTGCTTCCCCTGCCTCCTTCAGAACCCAGAGGTTCTGTTACCACAAGAAAGAAACTCCTGTTATAGCTCACTGAGAAATGTTCACAAAGAGGGGCCCATCCTGGGCCTCAGAAATGTTGTGGATAGGCAAAAAGAACTGGAGGCGCTTTGACATCACCTGGGCCTCTGTGTGTGAATCAGGCTAGCTGGGGGGGCCTGGGTCGATTGCCGGATAGATGGTGACTGTAACTATAGCAGTAATGACAATGCCTGAGATTTATTAGGCAATTTTTCCTATGCTAGGCACTTTATGTCTGCTGATTTCATAGATGAAGTAGATACTATTATTATTCCTTCCATAGAGACCAACCATGCCAGGCTCTCTACTTTCTCTGCAATTTGGTATCTGGCATCCCTTCTGCTTGCGATTTGAAGGAAAACCCCATTCATCTGCCAGGCCCTTCAGCAGGGATTCCTTCCTTCCTTCTCTACACCGCCAGAGCATTTTATCTTCACCCCTTACAGAAGCAGCTTTACCTGAGTAGCTGGGTGCCTGGCTAGCCTGCTGAGGCTGGGATCTCGCCCCTCTCAATTCCCTGAAGCAGGCAGACTATCAGAAGGGGAAATTTCTTCCCCTGTTTAGTCAGAGCCATTTTCCTCACCCCAGACTGAGATCTACCAATAGGGAGGTTTGTTACCATTTCCTGAATTTTAAAACATTTTTTATTTTAAAACACTTCCTTGAAGTTTCCGCTTGGAATCTAAGGAAGGCCCAGGTGACCACCTGGAAGTAAATGTAGGAATTCCTACTGTGTAGGAGAGAGATTGACCGTGGCTGGGTAAATTTCAAGGGTGACAATACTCAGAGTGAGTAAAGTGTCTCTCAGTAAACCAGATCAGACTCCCTCCACCCACCCACCCCCTTACTCAGTCCACCACAATAAAAGACTGGCTCACAGCCCTAAGGTCCATATGGGAGCACTGCCCTTCACCTCCCCTTCCTGGCCTCCCCACGCTCAACAGCTGTATCTTCAGCCCTGTTCTGTCCAGTTCATATCTCTAAGAAGCCCACAGGCTGCTCCATTACCCCACAACCCACACTGTAGTGGGAAACAGTGCTGTCTACACTCAGGTAACACACACAGAACCTGCAGTGAGTTGCCTAGCAGGGCACAGCATAGGGAAAGGTGAGCTGGAGGCGGGAGGCCACCTGACCTGGCAACCCAACTTCCCCATTTGCATTCTCTTTAGTGGCAGAGATGCCCAACAACCACCACCATCCCCCCATCCTCTTCCAGAATTTTCCTTCATCCTCTCTGCTTACTCTTAAGCTTCATCTTGTGGTTTTCCTCAGGCACAAGCACTCCATTTCAATCACCCTCTTCCTTAGGGTCTTCCTGCACCTCACAACCATTATAATTTATACAATTCAAATGCAGCTTCTCATTTCATCTTCACAATATCCGTAGGAGGGTTGCCTTACAGGTTGGCATTCAGAAGGGTGGAAGCTGGTCCTGACACTCAACCTGCATAGGGCGGGTCATCTGAACTTGTTTCTTCCCTGCCATCCACTCCAGATTAAACCTCTGCCTCCTTGGACTGCAGGAAATAAAGCAGGGTTCTTTGGAGTGAGGAGTCCTAGGTGGCTTTGGCCAACTTCATTTCTCTTTACTCCTGTAAACAGATAATGGTGATGCCTCTCCAGGGTATGCGAGTTGAATGCGATCATGTGTGTGACGCACTGGGTTCAAGAAATGGGCTCTTTATTTCTATCACAAGGGAAGGAAGGTGTTCTGTGCACTCACGGGTGTTTGCCCACTCGGGGTCTCCCGTACCCAAACCAAGTCAGCGCGCGGCCGACCCTGGGCTTTCCACGGCCGGGAAGGATCTTCCCATCTTTGTGTCTCCGCCCCTCCTCCAGTGCTTTTTGGCCCATTCCAACCAGTCTAACCTAGCCTTGGCTTATCGGCTTTCTCAGCACTGACTCCGAGCCCTGGGCAACCGCTTCTCCGACCTCACCCGAGTTCTCCTCCACACCTAGAGACTCCGCCCAGCCTTGCCCCCCCGCCCCCACCAGACTCCTCCCCCAGCCTCGACCCTCTTTATCCGGGCTTTTCCAACCTTCCCCATCATCCAGACTCCTTCCACCAGCTCCGCCCCCTCTCCCCAATTATCGCCCCCTCCCCCGCAGCCTCTGGCGATGCCATCCCCATTGCACAGATGAGAATGGCGAGGCTAAGGTAGGAAAGATGACCTCTCATAGTAGGGCAGGTGCCAGGTGGGCCCACGTCCCCTCACCGGCTGTCTCTGCGCCCGCGTCCCCGGCCGCGCCGCACCCACCTCCTGCCCTCGCTCTGCAGCCTCCCCTCCACGGGCGGCCAGCGCAGCTTTGCAAGGGGGGGGGGCGGGGGAGGAGGGCCGGAGCCCAGCCCCAGCCCAGGGGCGTGGCGGCGCTGGAGCCGCGCGCAGTACTCCGGGACTTGTAGTTCTCCAAGGGCTCTGTGCGGCACGGCACGCCTAGCGCAAACTCCATCTCCCAGGAGGCATTGCAGTGAGCCCTCCATCTCCCCTCCTCGCCCCCGCCAGAGCTCAGACCGGCTGGCCTTAAAGGGGACGCGGCCTGAGTGGCGGTTCGCGGGGTGGCCCCCGCTCCGGCTCCTCCCTGTTTCCCGCACCTCGCCCCTCCCTACGCTTCTTCCCGCAGCCCCGCAGCCCCGCAGCGGCGCGGCTGACTCGGGCTCCCTGGGTACAAGCTTGTACAGAGCTGGGTGGGGAGTTTGGACTTTGCAGTGAAAGCAGCATCCCTGCCGGCTGGGACTTGGCGGAGGGCGTCCCCACTCCAGGGGGAGCAGAGGGCTCGCCCTGACCTAGGCAGGCCTAGCCTAGTCCTGCCAGGCCTGAGCGCCCCGCCCAGGAGCCTGCTCTGAGGCGGGGGCCACCGGGGTCCCAGAGGTAAGGGGGCCGGGGGCGTGTGTGCAGGTTGTGGGGAGGGAGTGTCTGCACCCCGGCGGCTCGAGAGCCCTGGTGGGCACGCGCGAAGGGCTCCGAGAGTTTGGGGCTGGGAGTAGGGAGGTCTAGGTGCATATTGGGCCTCGCTGTGTGACCTTGGGCGAGTAGCTGCCCCTCTCTGGGCTTCAGCCTCCCTCATCAGTTGTGTCTGGAGGTGATCCGGTCCTCTCCCCTAATACAGTGAAGCTCACTGGCCTTTCGTGGGGTCCGCAGCCCCAGCCTGGGCTGGACGCCGGTGCGCCGGTATAACTGGAAGGAGGGGTGGGGCTAACACAGGGCGCAAACTGGGGAGCTCAGAGGTTGCAACCGCCTGGCGTGGGCTTCTGCTCTTCTCAGCATCCTCTCCCGGGCGTACTTCTCCCTACAAGACTTGAGACTCCTTGTGTTAGCCTGGTGCCCGCCCTTCCAGAAAGCCTGGTGTGGGGGTGGGGACGTGGCTATCTTAAGTATGTGAGGAGTGGCCCCAGCAGGGATGGGTGCTTGTGGTGGGTTCCTGAGAAGGGAATATATGTTCCCTCTCCTCCCATTAGCCATCAGTTAAAGAGTAGTTGCTTTTTACCAGTAAAACCCTTTCTTTCTTTCTAGGAGACAGTTTGGTGGCCCAGACAAGGGCCTCCCAGTAGGAGGGCAAGGGGATCCTTCCCAGGGCTGCCTTGGGTAGAAGCAAAATTCAGAGGTGATACTGTTGTCCAGAGACCTGGGTGGGTGGGTGAGTGGGGTGCTCCTCACCAGCTCTAGCACCCCGGAGGAATCAGAGGAGGAAGAGTGAATATGAGGGTCAGAGAAGAGAAGAAATGGGCGTCTCAGCTTTTAGGTGCTGAGTTGGGGCTTGGAGGGTCAGCAGTGGTCTGGGGGAAGGGAGACGCTGAATGAGACCTTTGTGAAACCCGCTCCCTGGCCTATGAGATTTTGTGAGCTTTTGACCTGAGGGCAAACCAGGAACAGTTTTTTTTTTTTCTTCTTTATCTTCAGTTTTGGTTGTTTGAGTCATTTCTACATGGCTCAGTCTTGTCCAGGGACCCTTGTAGGGACTTTCTTGGCTGATGTTTGAGTCTCAGGGTTATGGAAATGCAGGACCATACCTGTTATTTAGCACTCCTTCCCCTCTGTGCCTGGTCCTGCGCTGGGCACGGGGCACAGATGAGGGATGGGACCGCCTTCCAGAGGAGATCCCAGCCTGCTGAGGGAGATAGACATTGAATCCAGTGACACTGCTGAGGGATGAGAAAAGCAAAGATGGCCTTGAGAAGCTCAGAGACTCGGACTATAGGGGGGTTAGGAAAGGCTTCCCGGGGCCGGGGTGAGGGGGCGCATGTGACCTGGGCCTTGGAGGATGAGTCAGAATTTGCCAGAAGAGGGAGAAGCCTTTCCCAGCAGAGAGGACATCACCAAAAGGTGGCCATCAGGAAATGCCCACTGACCATAGTCCTTCAGATTTGTCACCAAGCAGTGTTTGTCAAGTTCATGTCCAGCCCTGCCCTCCATCAGCCAGTTGTCACAGAAAGGGCTTGAATGTCAAGCTCAGGAGTTTGGATCTTATGCTGAAGGGGCTGGGGAGCCTTGAGAGTTCTGAGCAGGGTATGGCAAGATGGAGCTTATCATCTAATGAGATTAATCTGATGATATTTGCAGGGTGGGTCACAGAGACCTGGGAGGGATGAGGAAGGCTGAATTGGGGCCCAGGGTATGGGGGAAGGGCAGGGCATTGTGTGTACACACACACAGACACGGTACCGTGCTTTGAGGTTGGTAGAGATGAGTCAGGCTTCGCCATGCAGGAATGGACACCTGTCAATACACAATGGAAATGTGGAGGGTCATCCAAAAGGGACAGATAAAGGGATCTGGGCCTTCTAGGGGAGGGATTGTGAGGTTCCTGTATGCTTACTATCTGCACTGGAGCCAACTGGGTTTTGCTGGGACTCTCAGGCTGTCACACCAGCAATGAGAGGTATAAGCCAAGGGCCTGGGGGAAGAGGTGGTCAGGCAGTCATCTCCCATTTTGGGGTTCAGAGGCTCAGAATGGTGAAAGAGCACCTCCCTCAAGGCCATGGGCACCATGGGGCATAGTGCCAGGGCTAGATTCGAAGGCTTGGACTCTTCTGCACAACACATACCGCTATTGGAGGATGGATCGAAGGACGGAATGAGGAGATGGGGTTAGAAGACTACTGCACTAGTCCAAGCAAGAAGTAAAGAGAAGCTGATCTTGGGTGCTGCAGGAGCTCCGAAGGAGATAGTGGAAATGCTTAGTTGGCAGTGAGGGAATTTCCTGGTAGAATCAGCAAGATCAGGAGTTCGTGTCTGTTTCCCCACTGGGTGTCAGATGGCCCAAGAATAGACTTATGACTGCTCTGGCCCTCTTCTTTTTTATACCTTGTCCCTTTCCCTGTTAGGGCTTAAATGGTCTCCACTCTCCAGGTGAAAGACTGAGGAGCCTGGCAGGGATTCACCCAAGGTCACCTGGTAATTCAGAAGCAGTGAACCTGGGTCGCATGCTTTTTATGCTGGCTCTTCTGAGGGAGGATATGGCTGCTGCGTGCTGCTGCGTGCCACTGAGTTTGGTGCGGGGCAGCTGTCTCTTGGGTCAGAGCCAGTGTGGACAGGCCATCTCCTTGTCCAGAGCCTAGAGGAGTAATCCAACCTCTCCTGAGTAATGCTGGCAGTCTGCTGCTTCCTCCCCTAGGGAGACCAAGTGCAGGTTCTTATCCCACCCCGCCAAGGTTGTGTCCCTCTCACATGGTGATCCTCCACTTTCCCATGCGTGCCCTAGGGAAATCAGGCCTTGTCCTGCCTCCCTTCTGTGGCCTGTGGTGAGGTCAGGTGAGCTCCAAGCCTCTAAAACCCTTTTGCATGAATGCACTCAAGACATTGAGTGGGTTTAGTTGGTGACTATGGTGACAGCTGATCTCAGACTGCCTGTGTGGCAGTGGGGGCAGGTAGGCAGGGTTTGTTTGGAGTGGCCAGGCCACAGACTGCACAGAGGCTGCACGGCTGGCCCCAGAGATCACAGCCCTCACAGAATGGCACCACAAACGGGTTTCCAGCTGCCAGGTGCAAAGGTATCTGGTAGAATGGTATGAAATTGCCAACATCTGCTCCTTTGCTTTCATGTGGTTCAGCCTGATATCACTTATCCCCATTTTACAGAAGACTAAAAGAGGCTCATGATGCAATTTGCTCAGGGTCACATAATGAGTTGCAAGAGCAGAATAAAATTTGCCCAAGGTCACATTAGAATGTAGGACTCATCATTCCTAGTCTCTTTCCACTTCCAGAACCTTCTGTAGCGCCAGAACTCCATTTCTGCCTGCTCCCAGGTCCTCTTCCTCCACATATGAGGTCAATATCTCATCGATTAGGGTTTCTTTTTGGCTGCCTGAATAATAGGATTTCTTGGCATCCTGGGTTGAAAGCATATTAAGTCCACTGGCCTGGAGGGCAGGAGTAGGGTTTTGCAGGGATACTTTACCAGGGAGGTTGGTCACAAGCACTGCCTAGGAAAGAGAAGACCGGGATGAAGGGAGACCAGTTTTTAAAGACCCGGTAAAGGCCTTTGAGATTATGCCTTGTGTTGGCACTCTTTACCAACATATCGGCCTCTGCCACCAGACTGGAGGTTCCTAAGGGCGAGGACTTTGCTTCTAAAGGGAAGGGGGCTGATTTATTGAGCACTTCCCTGTGCTCAGCATCATGCTGAGGACTTTATATTTAACAACAATCCTGAAGGGTGGAAACAGACTGAGAGAGTGTAAGTAACAGGGATGGGAAGCGGACTTCATTTCCAGATGAATCTCATTCAGAGTAAAAAGAGTTTAACACACTATTCGAGGAGGCTTGGAGTGGGCTCTGGGTGTATGAATCTGTGTTAAGTTACCAGGTGGTTCGGAGGCAGCCAAGCCAGTGTTTGGGAACCACTGATCTGTACTCTGGCTTTACCCACAGTAATCTCAGAGATGCCAGCCATTGAGGACCTCACAGCCTGGTGAGAGAGAGAGAGGGACAAATGGGCCCATTGCATTTAACACATGCAATAATGGAAGCTTGGCTTCAGCCAAGAGCTAGGACAGCGAAAGGAGCGTCTCCATAGGGCCTAGGACAGTGTCCGGGTCCACAGTATCTGTGGTTCTGAATAAAGGTTTCTGGTGCCTCATTTAGTAAATGTCTGGCTTATCTTCACACTAACGCCAGGTCTCAAGAAGTTTTTACGAGCCAGTAAGTTTAAACGCTTACTGTATGCTGAACCTTATCTCATGTCCTGCCTAGAGTGGGATTATATAAAGAAGCAAAGAAATGGCCCTGTCTTCTAGGAGTTGAAAGTTGGATATTAGGAGAAAAAGCTTTATCTTTGTGAACCAGCAT